AAATCTTCCGATTCGACATGGTTTCACGAATTCTTTTTGCATCGGACCACGATATCGATACAATGATCGTGGAATATATCGAGTACAGTCGAAAGAAAGAGATCTTCGCAAAAAAATCTATCCATTTATCACCCTACCAACAAGTAGGTAGGGTGATTCCCCTCTTGACAGAACAGCTTCAATCTTTGTTGCTGCAGATTTCCGAGCTCCTTCCCGATCGTTACTGCATTCCACCTATAAATTACGTACGCGCCTAATCTAATGCGAAATCTCTTATCACGTTTCCTTTGCGATTAGGAGGTTGTGTACGTGCGAAAGATCCCTTACAACGTGGCAATTGCGCGAAGTTTCGATGGTGTTTGCCACGTATTTCGACAACGTGAGATCAATGGCGGTGGATTATTGGAAACGCGATGTCGTGTTTTCGTTGCCAAGCGCACTCTAGCTCTACAATAGCGATATCTTTGACCTGGTTGGTATTGGCAAGGCGAATGGACACCGTCGCTTTGCGGTCAAACCGAAGCGATCAAGTTAGGTGCCAATAGTTATGGTCGTGTCGCACCATACAATTCTGCAACACGATTGAGCGATATTATTTCACGAGTTATTATTATTTTGCGAGAATTATTTTACTATACTTTACGATCTTCATTGTTTCAAACATTCATGTTTCCATTTATTAATATTAATCTTAAGAAATATATTTTATATCTACTCTAATATGCTATGCTTTATTTTTATGCTTAAATTCTGACTATTATTGTCGAGCTAAATACGCCATAAAACTTCTAACAAATTTATTTTTTTTATAAGTATGCAGTTCAAAAAATTTTGCATATATTTAACGTACAGTGTTAATGTATACTAAAAAAGTTAAAAATACATTCTTTAGATACTTATTTTGAAAAGATTACGTACTCAACTGAAATATAACACGAAACGACTTAACTTTAATTCTATTTTAATTAAATTAAGTCAATCTGAATTTTTGACACGTATATGAAAAGTATAATTAATTTAACATACGACTGCGTAAAAAATGTACAACTACTTGTAGTGTTAATTTTGAATGATAAACGATCTCATTAATTTTGAGACGAAGTTAAAAATTATTTTTGTAATGTAATTATTGATCGACTAAACAGTTTGCATTACTAACTCGAAAGCAATACTAATTAATAAGTGAAAACAAACAAGCCAATACAACGTGCGCTATAATACGAGATTTTCGCGCTCAACAATCAATTTCGCTATTTATGAGAATAATTAATTTATATATACACGGTCATTTATAAATACCATTACAACGAATCTAATATCACGAATTTTAATTGATATTCAACTGAGTGTCCCTGATCGATCTGCAACAAAATAACATTAAATTTATCAAATCATTTTTAATTCAACGCATTATTATCTTATACGCATTGTCCGCGGATTTTTTTTAACAGCACGTTCGTCACGATGCTTCAGTACGTGCACAGTACGAATTTTTAATTGCGTATCATGTCGAACAGAGTCATGTCGTAAACGCATCCTGTCGGTTCAGCCACTGTCACGCAGTTGTCGCCTGCTCGTAACTCGACATGTCGCGGCCGCCAGTAGTTATGTCTACGTTATGGTCAGACGTGACATACGTTTGCACCTGTACCATAGCGGTCTATTGATAAGTCAAACGCCATCTTATGAAATAATATATCGGATACAGTATTACGTGTAGAAATGTTTGAACCGTGAATAAACATTTATGTGCCGCAAACAATCCGTACGTGAATAAACGCGAAGGGTAAATATACGCGAGAAACGCAAATAAATTTCAAGAAAAATAGCATATCCCTGCAGCTATCGATGACCGTTCCGTTCAGAAAAATAGCACCATTTTTGGTCGATTTTTTTTTTTTAGATTTGTTCAAAAACGACGCGTTAAATATAACAAACGATGTCGCGCGGGATACTCTGATAGGGATTTACCACGCCGAGGTAAATGCCGAACTTCCGAAATGTTCGTCCGCTGACTATATCGTGTACTATATTCGGTTGAATACGGCTAGCTTTTGGTGGCAGCTCCGGTAGTTTCCAAAACGCGACCAGCGGTAATGATCGACGGTATCAGTATAGATTTTCATCAAATCGGCCGAAGCGCGATACCATTCAGTCGGCCGTTCAGCCGTGGAATGCACCGTCGAAGGATTACTCTCTATTATCAGAGCGATGCATATTGCGACGTCATAAAATCGTACGGGAGAGAAGCACCCGCAGGTAATCGAGAACGCACTTTGCTGCGCTCATGTTCGACGCATACCATTATCCTGTACATTACAACCCGGTAGATAGAGTTATAAACAACTGCGAACATCCAACGCACCCACGAATTAATCCTGGACTAGCTCCTTCTGCAGCGCAGATTCAAATTTCTGGCACAGCGAAATGCGAGGAGGTAGAAGCACTCAGGTTTTTCGAAAGTTCACGCGGAAACCCAGCAACCTATATCCCGTTACTCAGCAACAATAAATTAATCCGGTTGCAAAAAGGGAATAATCACGCGAATCCAAATAGAGAAAAAAATTTTATTACGACGTGAGAGTGCGCACGGAGGAGGATATTGTATTCCCATCTCGGAAATCCAATTCTACGCAATTTTAGTGCAACGTTAAAAAACTGTGATGTGTATTGTATTTTGTGCAGGATAAAGAACAACATTCTGGAATTTCACTTACGTCACGCGAGAGAGAGAAGTGAGATAGGTATTTCGTAAAGAAAATTAGAAAGAGGAAATGTTATGTATAACATTACGCTAGTAGAAAAATCATCATAAGGAACGTTATGGCATTTTTTTTTAATATTGAGAGCTATATAATAACGATTCCATGTACAACGTTTGACCCGAAAGGAGAGTAGATTAGATTACTGGAATCACGCGCGCGCACGGTATAGTAAGATAGATATCGCTTGGCAAAAGTAAAACTATTTGCATCGCGGTATGTATATCGCTGTGACATACGAGAATGCATCTGAGAAAACATAAAATATTAGTGCGAGCTACTTCACTTCTCAATTTTATCCAATACGTTTCGTCTTTGAGAGCTGCGGGAATATGAGCCAAGCCATATCTCGAAGCGCAAACATATAATACACTCGTACACGTAGATGCAGTCCAGTTTTTATTTTATTACGCGCGCGATGCTGGGTTAAAACAAGACAAGACAGGGGGTTCATTAATGCCAAAAATTTCGGTAGCATTCACGTTGGTGAAGTAACGTGTTCTACTTCTCACGATTGCCGCGAGTACGAGTGATGCGAATCCGATTGACTACATCGAACGTAAAACTGGACTTTCAATCTGTTTTCTATGTGTCCGTAACGCCGAGCTTCGTTACTCATGTCAATTTTCAAGTAACATCCAACTTTCCTTTTTTTTTTTTCGTTCCGATAAATAATTACTTTCTTTCCTGTATACATGAGAAAAAAATGTTTCTGATCACAGCTAATTCTGATTAGCTGAAATTGCATTAATTATTATATCTGTGAAATTTACTGTATATACAAAGAATTTGCTGCTGTAGCTAATATAAGAACGTGATAGCAAAATATGCATGTCTGTTGCAGTCAATTTATTTAGTAACATGAACAATAATTGTCATAGTTATATCCGTATAAAAGAAAATTGTCTCTATCACAGCTAAATATGATTTATTGAAACTATATTTGCTACCAAATTGTCTGCTACACAGAAAATGTTTGCAATAATCAACACATCAACATAATAGCAAAATACTTGTCTAATGATAATATTTAAGCCTCACAGTTAATGGAAATTAGACCTCGCAGACGCGACGTTAGCTGTCTATCTAATACTACCGAATTTAATTGCCATATCTAATTTTTAACTGTGGCAGCTAATCTTTTTTTTTCCATGTACAATATCGATGTAACTTGCGAATCAACAGTCTATTCAATTATTGCTGCATTATCTCGACGAGCAATTAAACATTCTCGAGAGTGGACGCATTTCTAAACCGTGCATTCCATTGCGTTATTTTCTTTTTTCGTTGTAATAATTGTAAGTACTCCACGCTTTAAAGTAAATTGCGGCGTTCGTTATCTCGCCAACGGCTGTAAATAATAGAGGCGATTGTAGATAGTATAGATCATCGGGAGATGTTTGGACCCAGCGAGCGAATTTCGAGAACGACTATACACATTTGATGAAGGCACGCCTCGTCGGAGATAAAAGCACTGGATGCTAAACGTACTCGCGCACATCGAAAGTTCGCTATGAATAATTCGGTTCGTTTAGCGCTTTACCATTGTACGCGCGAGGTCAGTCAACTCAGCTGCAACCCAGCTACGTAATTGACCTTGCAACTTTTTTTTTGACTCGCGACTTTATTTCCTTTATTCATCTGCTTTTCACCTACTGGCAGAAATGTTGCAATCGATTTCCACACCGAGCTCTTCGGGTCTGCGTTGGGAACCTGATATCCTAGATATCAAGTGTTTACTGTTTAAGCGTAGATGTGCATCGAAGCTGCTACAACAACGGATATCTGGAATAGTTCGATAGTAGGTTTACAGTGGTTGACAAAATACAAAATAAATCCACAAGTATACCAGAAAACGAAAGACTCATACGATGATTTACTACGATCTTTAGAGAATCTCAAACTACCGCGAGTGCTTGAAAAGCGAAATCAACAATAATCTCATATGATGCATGATTTTCTGATTCGTGTTTGAAAGAAAGTTATTGATATTATAGCGTTATTGATATTTTTGATTAATATATTGATATTTTTGATATTTTTACGAACGATATCATAGCCGTTGATTAATATTTCCATACGATTCCGAATCTATAGTGGTAATATTTAAAAAATAAAAAATACCTTTGAGAAAACTGTATTAATATTTGACTGAAGATTCGAAAGGGATTGCCATTCGACAATACGCGTTTTCCTCGTCGACGATGATATGTTTTTCAGATGATGTGATCATTTCAGGATGGTCCAGCCTCCGCCTTGCCGTTGACCCAGACTCTATCGAACATTTATGGCCGCAGATCGGCCAGTCCTGATGTTCCAGGCTCCAATCTAGATGAAACTCAGGTTCGTAAACATGCAAATTTTGCGAAAATAAATTGCAGATTTTTAAGACACATTTGCTCTCGCGACTCATACTGTCATACATATTAAAACCTGTTCTATGAGAACTATGAGAAAATCTTATAGTGATCGTCATAATACGATTAACGAATATATTTAATTTTAGTCTTTCTCTCCAATAAAATATTGAAAAATGTATTCTTTCTATTTTGAATCATTATACTAATTCTAAGGCTATTGAATTTAATCAATGATTGATTTATTATTATTATTAGAAGCTACAATCGTTTCTTGTAATTCGTGTGGATGTGTCGATCGATGCATGAAAAGTAAGAAATGGTTCAATCATTGTTCGTACTTGACGCATAGCTTGGTAATGATATTGTTCGTAGACTTGCGATGGTAAGCCCGTTTTCTAGCTGAATATAACTGAATATGCTTGGGAAGATCCCTGGCTTACCAACTTGTTCATTCGAAATATTTGCGGCAGCACAACCTAGAATTCTATTCATAGTCTTAAACCATTTTCTGAGGTCTTGTCGATAACGCGATTTCCAAGGCTATATTTAGATTCCCTACCTGTGTCTCTCATCATTTTATTCTTGTAGTTCATCGAATGTTACAACAAGAATAAAACAATATAGATATGGGACTATGAACGGGGAATCCGAATGTGTCTTAAAAAATATATCTTTGTGTCTGAGAAATTAATTTTGAATCTTTTCTTGTAAGAAATTTTTCACTTTCTTTATGAAGCATTCATAATCATCAAATTAAAAAACTAAATAACAATTATAACAATATATTTCTAAATTGATAAAAATTAAAGTAATCTCCCAGCTTATCTCTTCAGCTAATTTCTGTAATAATTATCTGTATTTGAGGCATAATTAATTTTAGATTTATCCAAACGAGCTTTTATTGCTAGTCAAGAGAGAGAAGTTTCTTATCTTGTGTGATATAAGATTTACATGATTTTGTAACTGATTTTATGTAAATCTCAGCCAAGTATACTTAGACTCTAAAACATCTGTTATCAGTGACAGTCCTGATTGTTGAAGATACTGAGGGTATCTCTTATACATCTCTCTTTATACCAAGCAGAATATAAAATGATATCGATATAAATTATGTTCGCCTGTCATGAACTTTGAAATGAAACAGCAATATGTAATGTTTTAACGTAGAAAGTGTTGAAACATGATGTATATTTGCGACGTCAATGTAATATGAAAGGGCTATTTCAAAAAATTTTATTACCACGCGCGTAACTTGGTGTATATTTACATACATCACGATACGCGATGCATCATTGGAAAATCGACGCCTACCGCATTTTTATCATCACTTAAATCTCCGACATGTACTATAGTTCCAGCTGTACTTGTCCGTTCGAGTAGCATCCGACGATCGAGCGATATTTTCAACATGGAAATAAAAGCGTCGATTTAATGCACATCTTTCGTGCCTCGGCATTTTGCGGAAATCGGAATGAATATGCAGTTCGTGCGCACGTAAATCTCGATGAATACTCGATGGATTGCGTTTTCACCGGTGCCATCAACAATTTTCACAACTAGTACAAATTTATTTCATCGGCTTCTTTTCATCAAAAATTCTTCTATATTATGTCAATATATTTTTATCGACAAGAATTGTACGTTTGTAAATCGTTTTTTTTTTCAAGCAAATTTTAATTTTAATTAATTCTTACGATTACATAATTAGGATATAAAGTTTAAATTATACGTATTAACTTTGACGAGTTAAAATAACTAGATTTTGCTAGAGCATATATATCGTCTAATTAAATCCAACGGTGCAATTAATGCTCATGCTAATTGTTCTTATACATATAATTAATTTGAGAACGTAACTTCATAAAAATAACGTTATTATTATACAAAGTAACTTGTTACCAATATTATAAAGTACGCTAATACAGTCGTTATCGTTACTTAAAAAGTAATGGTTTGTTTCTTTTTTTGTTGTTTTTTTTGTAATGTTGAATAAAGCAAAATTTATTAATTAGATTAAAAAATTATATTATTTAATAATATAATTAATAATATTACCAATTGCAATAATCATTAAAATTCTAAGCTAGTCTTTACTAAGCTTTTTTTTATATTAATAATTTTATTTTTTAATATATGCTTATCTTTAGGAATTTAGATTGTAATTTATAAACGCATATATTATTAAAAATTTTTATTAAGCATTGTTGCCATTGTTTTTAAATATCGTTATTTATGCATTTCAATGTTCACTACTAATAATAAAAATTTAGATCATGTTATATAATACAATTTTCAATATTTGCAGTCTGTCAGACTATCAGAATAAAGTCTAAGATATTAAGTGTTAAACATTTTTTTAGTATTTAAATTTTTATTTAAATAAAATGTTTCTAGCCAACAAAAAATAATGCATTCTAATAAAAATAATGAGATTAAAGTAACGAAAAAAGCAACAGCTAAATCGTTACTGTAAAAATGTAATATCACCATATAAGAAAAAAATAACAATCGTTACTGAAAAAAAATTAACGATAAAAAATAATGATGTTACAAGTTACAAGTAATATATTAGAGCAGACCGGGCGCGGTTGTCAGTTTTTGATTAGTGATTTTTAGAAAAAAGTGGATGTCTGATTTTGAAATATTATATACGTTATAATATATCTACATCCTTTAAATATTAAAAAAAAATATAATATTACTCGTGAATTCATTATATCGTAAAAATAATTATTTAATTTTAAATGAAGCTGCGAAAATGTGACAATTAATCTCGTATTCTGGTTGTTCCAGAATTGGTAGTAGCATATTTGTTATGATAGCATATTATAACAAATTATAGTAGCATATTATAATAAACATGAAAAATACAATTTTTATTTTAATATCAGTTCTATATTTTAAGAAATAATAGTAATTATGGTATTGATTACAAATTAAATAATTATTTTAATCATAAAATATATAATTTGTTTTTTCAACCGTTTCTATATGAAAAATGAAAAATATATTATATTTCATATATATCTATATGAAATATAATATATTTGTAAGTATATTCTCTAAAAATGTGTTATCTAAAAATATTAAAATTAATTGTCACCTCGTCTCATTTTGATCAATCTACCCCACATAGCCATTTTTAATAAAAGAGATTGTATTCACAAATTTTGTCAGCATAATGATTAATTAATTGTAGCAAAGATCTTCCAAGACATGTCATTTTCTACGAATACAGGGATGTCGTGATTAATATTATAATATCAAAGACTTGTCAGACAACAAATTAGGTGATGAGAAAAATTTACTTACCAATTTCATTTTCTTAAAAATCGCTATAAATAATGCTATATATAATGCTTGTAGTGCAGACATTTTATACAACAAATTAATATTATATCAGCAATCTACAGTCAAAAAAAGAGATTTTTCTATCATGTCCTGTTTGAATTATAAGCATTTTGACAATCAACCCCGTACGATAATTAGCCCCGGTCTCTCCTATTTCTTAATTCTGTAACATAACTACCCTTTTGTTCTACTTTATATACTATTAATTATATTAATATATGAGCCATGATATAACGCTTTTTCGCTGCCGTTAAAGAACTTAAACACGCACTTAAAGTTTAACATGAGAAGAGCATTCGTCGGCTTGAGCTTCTTAGCGAAGATGATAAGAAGTTTACCTTGGTTAACTATAAACATAGAAATTAATTCGCTTTAATGTCATCTCCAGACTGCAATTTTCCGCCGTACTGCTCTTCGTCCTTTCGCTGTCATTATGGTGCAAAACCTTACCGCGCAATTCTTTGCTTCGTTTCAGAATACGATCGCGCGATTCTCGATTATCTCCTCATGTTCTTCCTATCAAGTCCAAGGTTTCCTGGAGCTGCGAGACGCTGCATTGTGCCCTGGTATTGTGCTCGTAATGGACATCCGATTCGCAGAATAAAATGAGGCCATTTCGTGAAAAGACCAGCACGATAGACGACTGTGCGTGACGGTTAATTAACCCGCGCAGGGATATTTCGCGTATTATTACGCTCACAAATAACTCTAAAGTAAATTTCGATATGCGAAGCGAAATGATAAATCGAACAAACGCAATCGCTACTCGCTAACCTGTTTCAGCTTCGCGATTCATAATTTACTGAGATTAAGCGTTAATTGGTGAATTAAATTAACCATTATTTGCAACCAATGACGCATCAATAGCCGCGACATCCCAGCTTATAAACCAAACTGAAAATCTGCGTGTCGTCATTATTGATGCCGTTTTGCAGTCCGCATATTTACGGACGGAATACGGCGAAATGCTTGAAACAGGATTGGGCCCGAGGCAGTTACGTTATGATACATTCCGTTTGATTTGGGTAACCTGATTAACTTCCGACGTGTTGATGCTGAGGTTTGTTTAATCCATTAATGATCGAAACGTCGATACCATCTGTATGTCGTTGCACGACACGAGGAAAAATATCCATTAATGGAACTTTATTATTTATCGCCATTTAACCAGCTTCTAAAACGCTCGTCACTGTTTTTGTTATTTTTTAATTAACTCGTTAAAAAACAGAGAGCGCAGTATATACTTCGTCAGACGAATGTCTCTACTTGAATTAGATCGAAAGTAATTGCATACATCAAACATAAATTAAACAAATATATAAACAAATATATAAAATGAGGCTCGAAAAAATCTATCTATGTGAAAAATGTAAAAAAAGCTCATCAGAGCCTATATTAACTGTTCGGATTAGCTACGTAATGAATAGCCCAATGATTATCAAAAATATTAACTTATACAATAATATAAATATAATATTTTTGATAATCATTGGACTATTTTATTACATAGCTAATTTGGCATTTGGATAAAGAAGAACGAACTAAATTATCGGGAACCATCAACTTGGAATTTGCGTTATTTATGTAATTTCGATTTATATTATTATATTCAATTTTATATTGATGAGGACCCGAATTGAAGGGTCGAAACGTATATTTTATTCGTTTTGTTACATTCATACGAAAATAAAGAATTTTTTGTGCATCCGAACAGCTGATGTAGGCTCTGATGAGCTTTTTTATATATTTCATTAATAAATTAGCTAATTTAATAAGTAATGCAATATATACAAACTAATATAATTATATTTTGAGATGAAATTCATCATAGAAAAATATACTTTAAAACTTGAGCTAAAAAAATACAATTCCGAGGAACTAGTCGAAGATTCTGCCACTTGTGGTGCACGTAAAGTTTAATTAAGCAAGAGTTTAATTTGGCTGAAATTCGTAAATTCGCATGCGGACACAATTTCTTCGAGCATTGATCTCGGACCATTATTGCGTTGCTATCATCTAAAACATTACATTCCACATAACGTAGCCGTCGCGACCACTCGACACTTAAACGCAAAATTAATGACAGTTGCAAGTTGAGAGTCACGAAATAAATGGCGCGACTCGTTTGAACTTATAAATAGAGTGTAACGGTAATTAATCATCTAAGTTCTTACAATTTTGGATTTAATCAAAAAAAGTAACAAATTTTTTGAAGAGTTCTTTAGACTGCCGTCCAATTGCGAAGATACTTCAGCGTCAGAATTAGACGGTAACGCCTTCTTCGAAAGCATACTATTGATACCAACGTCACTTTTACATCAGTATCGACGCCGACGTCTTACATGTCGAAGTATAAAATCGGCTGCTCCGAAAAATTCTGGACTCGATCGTGTAATCAAGTGTAATCTTTTACCTCAATGAATTATCTTAATTACAATTAATTATTGATATTAATATAGTTTCTTAAAAAACGAAATTGTTTGCGAAATGCTCGGACATAAACTTTTTTTCAAGAACATGAAAAATAGTGTGTGATATAAAGCAAACGATGTGTATCTCCAATGAAAATATATAAAAATAATAATAAACAATAACAAATATTAATAAAAACTAAATCGCTATATATAATAAATAAATACAGAAAATAACCAGATAAGTAAAGAAAAACCAAATATGCTTGAGAATCTTGGTACCTAATAATATTTATATGTAAATTTTAAATACATCATCTAATTATGTAAACTGCTCTCCGATTACTGTCGGATTTGAAATGCAATCACAAACTAAAGCTAAAATAATAATATTACAAATTAAATTGATTGTCAATTTAATAATGATGCCAATAAGCATCTTACAGAATTGCAGAGAATTTATTGCGAGAAATTAACCCAGCCAGGAGTTGTTAATCTTAGAACCTCTCAATTATTCATGGTGGGTTTTCGATTAAGAGAATATATTATGCAAAAGAATATATTGTGCGAAAGGTCAACATAATCAGTAACTTAAATCAGAAAATGTATAATATATTAATTCGAATAAGAGTGGTATCTTTCTTTAAAATTTATAAAATTAAACTATTTTTATATTTATCAAATTAAAAATATTTCTAAGCTTTACCACATTAAAACTATATTATTTTGAAAATATTTTTATTTACATTTATATTAATTTTATGGATTATAATTTTTCGTTAGGAAGAAATGATCAATTTCATGACAACTTTAGTATTTAAAATAAATAGAAAAAGAATGTATTTATTGATCAAATATTATCATTATAAATAACTAACTTTAACTAAATAATAACTAACCTTGCTTTAACAAGCGATAATATTTTTCTTGGAAGAGTTATCTTGCGATTCGATGAGAAATGTGAGATGAAGTAAACAAAGAGAAATCTTCCTAGGAAACTGTCGTAAAAGGGAAACAAAAATAAAAGTCTATGACTTCTGGTTGAACGAATTCGACAATATTTATCATTGTAGAAACTTTGCCCACTTTTTCGAGTGCTATAAAAACGTACTATCGTGCATCGCATACAAAAAATACATATAAAAAATGTTTTATCAAAAGAGCGACTATGTTGAAAAGTAGCAGCGTTATACATGATGAATTGAAGCACGATGGTATATGAAATGAAGGGATTTACGAGAGAAGATACGTTTTCACGGAATAGAATGTTGATGGAGATTGCTCGCTGAAGTACCGAGTCTGAACTATTTCGCTCTCGCACGCGCGGTTTCTCCATAAACAATATGCGGCGGTGTTTGGTATTCTTGGAAGCCCGTAAGCGCTTCAATCACTCTGAAATTTTCCTTTGCTCATACTGCAAATTACGCTCGCGAGCTGAGCAAACATGTGGTGCGCCCACAAGCATTATCTATTCTTACACGAGTTTCCATCAATGTGAAAATATGGATAAAGATTTTGGTGGAACGCAAAATACACATGTATAATGGAATTATATCAAGTCCGAGGTATTTTGCTGTGATAACCAAAAATTAAAATTGCAAAATAATTAACAGGCTTTAACAGATAAAATATTTTCCTTTTTTAAATGTCGAATCGTTTATCGTTATTATCTTTTTCCTTACATAAAAATGAATAAATTTCATCTTTACAGAATTATCTATATTTGTGGAATTGTTCATGCGATAAGTAATTCATAATTGTTCAATTATCTATTAAAAGTATGTCATTGATTAATTCAATTAATGCCGATTAGCATTTTGAATATTATTTATCACAATTGCGTCGATTCTCGACACAAATGCGTGCTCAATTGCAACATCTTTGTCAGCACCTTTATTCGCATTCAGAGAATGCACTCGACAATAATGGTCGACGGAACTATGTCGGGGGAATAAAGCGCGTGTGGTGGAACAAGAGAGGAATATAGAGACAATCTGATACTTATGACACGCTTTCAGAACACAAGAAACGGGAGAAAAGGGGGATTTGATTCGTGACATATATCCTCGACGTTCTCTTCATCATTGATATCGATTTCTAGCAAAGATGGGCACACCCGCGATATCAATTGAAAGTACTTGTTCGTGCAAACCGATGAAAATGGCAAGTAGCAGGTTAAACGAATGGCAAAAATTTACCTCGAAGGCTGAAATGCGCATAAAAGTTCAAACGCTAATTGCAAAGTTCTCGCATTTATAAGGATTTTGAAGTAACATAAAGTGGAAGTAGAGATTAAATCAAGAATTTTTTACCAAGAGAGAAAGAGCTGAACAGTTTGTAAAATACCGATAATTGAAGAAAATAATTATAAATTGAAGCTCTAAAAAAACTAACTTTCTGAGATTTGCAATAAATTTATAACTATCGTATTTATATCTCGAAACAAATTTATTGAAGCTGTATAAAGCTGTAAAAGCTTTCTGAAATTTATAACATAATTATCAGAACATGTATCTCAAAGCAAACAACGTGGGAAAAATATATTCAATTAAATTACATTTGAAAATATATTGAAATAAAATATTACGTTAAACGCAGACCTGAATGCATTTTTTAGAATAATACTTTTCGTAACAATTTCGTAAAATTGATGGAATGTAAATGACAACTGTTTAATAGTTATTTACGCATGTCAATTTATTTCTTTTTCTTTTGACATTACATAGCGTCTCTATTTCACTTGTTTGTGCACAGCGGTAAATCGAATGGACTTTGACGGATAGCGTATACTGAAAATATATATATATATTCGGAATATCACGCGCGACCGAACTGTTTTCGCACGATGATAGACTGGGTGTCGATCGTACGTCACTCAAGGCGTCGATTCAGTGATTACATGTTTACTGTGCCGGCCAAAGTACGAAAACGTCGAAGGGTGAAGCGACACACCAATTCAACATTGAGTTTGCCCAATGATCGTGACACAAATAATACAATTTCACGTTCCAAAAACGACAGGAGTGTTTGTGAATGTTGCTGGAATCATGTAAGTTCGAACGCAAATAAGCGTAATGCCCTTATCACGCGATTGGAGATTACGTTTGCATTCACGTTTGCTTCTCTTGACCAATCAGAAAGAAACCATCGATCAGCAGCTTCTACCTAATTGGTCAAAAGATGCAAACGTAAATGCAATCTCCAATCGCTAGTATGATACAAGCATTAAACAGCGTTAGATCAGTACTAAGATTTACTTGCACATTTCAGCTGATTTTACTATACTAGAAATAAAAAGTAGGAATCAAACTGAAAAACGGCTGAAATGTGCAAATAAATCCCAGCACTGCTGATTAGATCGTAATGACAAGAAAAATTATACATCGGTAGCAGGAAAGATTTCACGACTGATCAGAGTTAAGAAAATTACACATCTCCTAATTATAACGATAAACAGGAAAATATTAGAACACATCGCGATTACTAAAACATTGTCCGAGCTGGTCGTTAAGATTTTATTTATGTACTAAAAGCCAGAGTTGTTTTTATGGCCTTTTGGCGCGTGAGATAATAACTCAATAAAATTGTTTTCTTCTTGTTGCAGAAACCGAAGTTCGATGGTACAGGGGTGGAGGAACAATTACCACCACCACCGTCGCCACCCCAACTGAAAGAAGCGGCCCAGCTAGATGGAGTTCCCAGACTGAATTCAGTCGACCGTATCCTTCATCCAGATGGTATTCCGCACATTAGCCATGAGACGCTCAACAAGGTAAGTGTGTCAAGATAAAAAAGATGCTAACTAACGATTAGATAAAAAAAAGTCAAGTATACATAAAAAGATATGCAAATTACGGAGCAAAAATTAATTTTCTACTTAATATGTATAGCATACATTAAACATCTGTTTGATACATATAAAATGCATATTATACATTACAAGAGGAAGAGGAGAGTTTGGTTTTCACACGTTTAGATGTTGTCTTTTTCGTTTAAAAATTTAAAATCTGTTACAAATGGGGTGAAGTAATAAATTAAAAAAGTTTGCATAAGAGTTGATGAGTGGCGCATGCGTGCGCGAAGCTCGAAATGTTCGCCACCTACGTTTTCATCCCTGAAGATACTCACCCTTACCGCGGGATCGATGAACGCGGTTCTCCTGCGGTTGGTAACGGTTGGAAAACAAACCTTCCACGTTACCGAGTGCTACAATCATACTGGCAAACGTCAACAGAAATCTTAGAAATCTATATTTATGCTTTATTCATGAAATTTTTAACACTTTTGCATATCGATGTAATCAGAATAAAAACCTATTATCTAAAACTATCGTGAATTCCAATGATTTGAATTAAATTATAATTAGCTTCCGTGAGAATAGAAATAAATAGATTTCGATTGATTCTGTACTTCTAAATTCCCGAGATGAGAATCTAATCCTGATTTTATCATAACAGTTTTATCATTCAAATCTTAATTAAAACAGTTAAGGATCACTATTCGCTAAATCATCCCCAGAAAAGTCTGCTGCACCCTCTAATAGATGGCAGAGACTACGCGAGGTCATCCCGGGATTCCCCGGAAGGCCGCGCGGTCTCGCTACGGTCTGTCACGTGGTAAGATCGAGGTCTGCATTACCCTGCCCCCGTTGATTGTCCGCAACACGTGGACAAAACAGTTCGGCCGCGACTTTGCAGCTCGTCGGCCTCGAGAGTCGGACATGCGACAGGGCTCGTAGATGGGTGGTTCGGTCGCGGTAGTTCCGGTGAATGTGCGGTGCATCGGTATGTTATCTGGTCCCGTTGAGACCGCGTGACCGCAAGAGTGACGACGGGAGTCCTACATACGACGGAGAGTCTTGAGGAGAGGGTGTTTCCTCACGTTGGACCCGACGTCCTTGGAAACTTGGGTGTGAAAAACCGAAAGGCATTATTGATCGCACTTCGTGGAGTGCAATGTTTTTCTGTCGCCAGCCGTGGTCGATAACGAGGCCGATATAGGGCGAGATATTTCGCGGTCGTGTGTCCGGATCGCTCGATAATCGGCGCGAAGTTAGGTACAGGAACACATCCGGATATCGCCATAACGCCTTCCGGTATTTAATTGTTCATAAGCGGTGCCAACCAGCGGGATGACCAATCGACTGGACCCATCGAATTTTCCTGTGAATGCGTATAATTTTAACAGCAGCCTCACTCGCGTATAAATAATACAGGAATTAGGTTAATTAATTCGTCGTGTGTTATCACGTCGCCGCCATTTCGACCAAATGTAATTACATGGTTTTAATTACAGAAATTTAGTGAGCGTGTATGATATTATTTAAAAATCACCTATATAATCACGCTTTAATAACGTCTACATTTATTTAATATTGTTGTTAGACGCTTTACATTTATTAATGGTACTTTATTGTATATTTCAAACTATTACGTTTACGCTTTAAAATACTCATTGATATCGAAAAATGCCCAATGTGCAGAAAATATAACACATTTTATTTTTACTTTGAAAATTGATTTTTGGAAATTCTTCAGAAATTTCGAAGGTGAAATTTCATTGAAATTTCAAAATTCTTTGTAGGCATTCCTCGAATGAAATTCATCGACGAGATCATTGATGTGTATTGAATCTGAATCCATTACATTCGCTTGAGAAGGAAGGATCGTTAAATATAAATTATGCAAACGCACAGCACAATGCGAGATAGCATCGCGCGAAAATTCAATGCACCTGCGTCAGAGGAGGTGGGTCATATTTGCGAGATTAATAGACGATCGTGAGTTACGGACAAATTGAAATCGCGTGGGAGGGGACTCTTATCCCTCTTCTAAACGGCGGTCGTTAAGAGAGAATGAGGCGCGCATTCTGCGGATTGCATTGTACAATCTTCTTTACAGCACATCGTCCGGTATATGATACGATTTGTGCGTAAGAAAAAGCTGTAATGATATAAATGACATCAGTCAAGGTTTTTTATTTAGCGTTGAATTGGTTTCTTGCATTGAAAACATTTATCTTGTAACTAAGATGCTTTTCTTATCGCAATTTATATGTTTTTTTGATGTTCTAGTATTATAAGCACTAATATTTTCACGTAAAAATATCTGTCGGGCGCATTAATCTTTTTGTATTATTCGCGCAAATAGAAGTTAAATCTTACTTTATGCAGAATATGTACATGTTCTTTGGAAGTGACAGCTCATTAACAAGGAACTATTAAGCGCATTGATGTTTTCTAAAAGTATTTAATCGATCGATGAAAGTCTCTTGTACTGTGCCGGTAGTTCGGAAGTACTTCGATAATTTCCTGCGAGACGATTCTATCCACGAGGCTTGCAAATGCTCGCTAAAGACCAAGTTTTAGCTACTTAAGACAAGAAACACCGGTATATGAAGGTAACTACAAACTCGTCGCGCCAAGAGGGTCGTTTCAACGTTATACATAATTTATGTTGTGCGATAAATTACCATCCCCATCATCCGGTCTAACACGACGAGTTCGCTATGCGAACAGTGCGATAATATTATTTTAGCCTGACAACGATGACGCATGAATTTTCCGTGACGTCTTTTCTTTCTTTTTTCTTGCCGTTGTCTCTTCCACGCGAGCTCACCTTTTCCTTCTTCCCGAGTTCGTCGTGATTTATCGACGGGTTTTTTTTTACGAATTTTTCCAATTGCGACGGCCGCCAAATTGAGGCCAGGTGAACGAATATTCCAGAACGATCTTGGAACGAAAAGACGGAAAAAGGACACTGCGTTAGATGCAAGATTTCATTAAACCTGTGCACGTATTAAATTTCATTAACATATAAGATGAAAAATTTTTCAGAGAATAATATTTAGAAATAATCTTTTATTTAAAAATCTAAAAACTTAAGAATCTCATATTTATGTAAAAAAATAATCATATTAACGAAAGATATTCAATTCTTTGACTTATTTTGTGTGGAAATGTTGTTAGCGAAAGTAATACATTTATTTAGAATGTACGGATTTGATCCGAAACATTATGTGGATTTCTACTAATCTCGCAAAAAGTTAGTTTCAAAGAAACGGATTGAACATGAGGAAGATGAGAAAGATTAAGGTAGATGAGGGTGAGACAGTAGAATATGCTTCGCTCACTTCTTTCTTTTCTATGTATGATACCGTCCGATAGTCGACCTCTACGTGACCTAAAACGACCTAGATACTGCCTCCGCTGTTGCCCATTTTCCTGGCTTCTCGGTCAGCGAAACGTTCGACGATAAAAGTCACTTTCCTCGTACCGTCGAGACCTGATTTTTAAGTCGATGAAGTTAGAAAATTTTCAACATTTTTTTATACCATGAACGAAACTACAAAAAAAAGGTCATTTCAGACAAAAAGCCATAAATATATTGCAATGATTTAACGCAATGATTTAAAAAAAAATTGCAGGCGTTATTTGAAATGTTATAAGCATTTATTCTAATCGAAAAAGCATTGCAAAAATTGCGATTGAAAATTAATGAGCAAAATATTTGTGCAAAATTGAAAAATAAAATTTCATTCAGACTATCAAAATATTAATTCAATTAATTATTCATGTCAATTCATATTATGGAAGAATCAAACTGCTTGCGTTAACATAATTTGTCGGTTAACGATATCTGATGACAAATTCATCATAGCTGATGACACTATATTAATTTATCTCGATATTATCTCGATATTCAATTTAATTCCATTGTATACCTATTATTATTAAAATCCTTCAATCAATTAATATTTGTATTAATTGATATAATTGTATAAAATAATAATAAGCAAATAATTTGTACTGGATAAATTATACGCTGGGTATATGTCAAAGTGTAATAGAACAGAAATGAGAATTCTTTCTCTTGTAAAATTACTGTGGAAAATCCAATTTTAATCTTTTTTATATAAAAAAAGAACATTTTCCAGCATGCTCGATTTTTGTAGGCGACTACATGCGTTGTATAATCGCGATACTAATTATTATATATATGTGCACGCGATGCGTGTCATATCAGCGAGAAAATCGCTGGAATTAAAGTGTAACGAACTCTTTGCATGCCGGGCTCCATTTGACATTTACTTTGAGTATTCGGACATAACATATAACATGGCGAAAGTATCACGGATTTAAATAATTATTTCGCACGCAATTATTTTTTTTATCGCATGTAATTCCCGCGCGCATTTCTTATAATTCTCACGCATATACAATGCAAAGTTTATCATTTTGTTGGCAATATCTCCTTGACATTTAATCTTATCGATTACATTGTACTCCCGATTAAACATTAAACGACATTTTAGCATCCGTAGATTTTACATTATTTATCGTGGACTACGAATGCTCGAAATTATTTAAACAGTGGATACAATTACAATTTCTTCGCGCGCTCGCCGCATACGACAAATCGAAGAGATTCGCGAAAACTCTGAGCAAAGTTAAATTGCAGACTGCAAATTGTAAATCAGTTTGTGATTGCTCAGCGAATTGTGATTTAAACGGAATCATGCGACAAAATTAAATCACGATTCGCTGCGTGCATTTGATCGCGACATGTGTTACGATTGACTTAACGTGTCGGTTTACATTTTAACTTTCAATTTAATTACGACTAATCCTTCCACGTAACTGCACAGATTAAGCTAACCAAAATTGCTATTTGATGCGAGAAAATACGTCTGAATCAATTACAATTTTTATCTACAAATGAGAGTCTTTTATAAAGGCAATTTATGCGCTATCACGTTTATGTGATTTTAAAT